AAAAAAAAAAAAAAAATCAGAGGATAGTAGGGCATGGTGGCTCATGTCTATAATCCCAGCACTTTGGGAGGGCAAGGCAGGCAGATTACCTGAGTTCCAGAATTCAAGACCAGCCTGGCCAACGTGGTAAAACCCCATTTCTACAAAAGTTAGCTGAGAATGATGGCAGGTGCCTGTAATCCCAGCTACTTGGGAGGCTGAGGTGGAAGAATTGCTTGAACCTGGGAGGCAGAGGTTGCAGTGAGCAGAGATCGTGCCACTGCACTCCAGCCTGGGCAACAGCGAGACTCTGTCTCAAAATAACAAAACAAAAAAACTCAGAGGGCACTGGATTTTAGATGCTGTTACCACAAATGGAAGGTAAATCCTCTGAAACGGGATCTCCCTGAAAGTCTGGCTGATCACGACAGTGATGAAAGGGGAACTGTTACATTTTACATTTCCATAGGCTACATAGCTGGGTATGGCTTAGTTGGGGAGAAAGGAACATGAACCAACCACAGAAAAGTCTAGGATCCTGGGGAAAAGTGGCATTTAGAAAGGGTTGCACTCCACAGCCCTTACCTCCACTTCATCCCCTTCTGTGATTTCCTTATTATAGTCAGCTGGAGGTGGTAGCCGGACATCTCCAAAAGGAATTTGTCTCTCACTTTGCCAGCTGTAAGAGAAACAATAATATAAAAAAGCTACTCAGACTGATATGGTTGCCCATTTCTTTACAAAGGGGTTATTGCCTCAGCTGGGCAATTTCTACCTTTCTGGATAATTTGAGGCTAAATCCCAGGCCCTGCTCCATAGTGGTGTCTTCCATCTCCTTCTAGACTCTAAATACTGGGTCAAACTCCCCCACCCTCACCAAATTCTCGGCCCTTTCCTTTCCTGGGATCCATATAAGTTTCCCACCCAAACCCTCAGCTCTCCCCACCTATTACATGCCTCATAGGACTCAGCCGCCCCCTCTTCTCCACTCTCCTTCTAGGACCTAGTATGCTGGATTCTCTATTCCCAAGGTCTTACTTGTTTTCAAAGAAGATGGTGACAGAGTCTTCATGGACATCCTTCACAAAGCCCTAGAATGGATTTTAGAAAAAAGTAAAAAATGACCTTTTACCTCCACCTTAGCCATTAAGGGAATAGAGACACTGCAAACCCTTAAACTTGAGTTTTAGATAAGGACACAAGTGGTGTAATGAGAGAGCCTGAAAGGCTGCATTGGGGAAAGAATATGGGCAGTCACATAGAGAAAGGAAATTATATCGTCATGGAGAGATGTATGTACTACCTGCATCAGAACAGCCTGGAAATCAGTGATCCACTCAGGCTCCCACAGGGGCCTCCCTATCTGTCTGCCTCCTGTTGTGCTAAGCAGCCTGCCAGAGTTCAATTAAAATACCAACAACATTCAGCAAGGCTAAGAATATCCCATGAGACAGTGTGAGGCTGTCCTGGAACACCTAGAGGACATAAGGATCTGTCAAGAAAGAGGAGGGCCTACCTCCCCAATACAGCAAGAGATCTGAGCAGACTCACTGCCCTGATGCCTGGGTCCTAGGACAACAGTCAGAACGTTAGAGAAGTTCAAAATTTCGAACACAATTACAGAAGAAAATTAGGACTTAAACAAATCTGATTTTTTTAATACTAGAATTGAATCTAGAGTGATACTGAGAATTTAAAAAGGATAATAAAACTTATGAAAGACACCAATCTTGAGATAATGATGAGAGAGAGGAACAGGGATGAATGAACAGCTGATCTATCTACTGTTGTCTATGTCCTAAGGCCAAACCCATGCGGTCAACCCTACGTTACCAGTTTTTCTACCTTCTCCCTATTTTTCACATAGAATTAGGGATTTCTAATTTTGAAAAAATACAACTTATTAACTTATTCTTTTATCAACTGTGCTTTTGATTTCATATCTAAGAAATCTTTGCCCAGGTCCCAGTAATCTTTGGGAGGCTGAGGCAGGCAGATCACCTGAGGTAAGGAGTTTGAAAACAGCCTGGCCAACGTGGTGAAACCCCATCTCTACTAAACACAAAAAATTAGCTGTGTGGTGGTGCATGCCAGTAATCCCAGCAACTTGGGGGGCTGAGTCAGGAGAATCGCTTGAACCCGGGAGGCAGAGGCTGCAGTGGGCCGAGATTGTGCCACTGCACTCTAGGCTGGGCAACAAGAGCAGAACTCAAAAGAAAAGAAATAAAAAGAAAAGAGAAAAGGAAAGGAAATCTTTGCCTAATCCAAAGCCACAAATGTTTTCTCTTATGTCTTCCTATACTTTTAGTTTTTTGTTTTACATTTACATTTACATCTATGATCCATTTTGAATTAAATTTTATATATAAGGTGAGGTATTGATTAGTGTTCTTTCTTAAATGTTTTATTTTTATTACCATTATTTTTTTGAGACAGAGTTTAACTCTTGTTGCCCAGGCTGGAGTGCAATGGCACGACCTCCGCTCACTGCAACCTCTGCCTCCCGGGCTCAAGTGATTCTCCTGCCTCAGCCTCCTGAGTAGCTGGTATTACAGGCATGCACCACCATGCCTGGCTAATTTTGTATTTTTAGTAGAGATGGGGTTTCTCTATGTTGGTTAGGCTGGTCTTGAACTCCCAACCTCAGGTGATCCACCTGCCTCGACCTTCCAACGTGTTGAGATTATAGGCATGAGACACCACACCTGGCTCTTTTTAAAATTTTTTACATATTTTTAAATTAAAAAAAAAGTTTTTCTTGAGACGCAGTCTCGCACTATTGCCCAGGCTGTAGTGAAGTGGCACGATCTTGGCTCAGTGCAATCTCTGCCTCCTGGGTTCAAGCAATTCTCCTGCCTCAGCCTCCCGAGTGGCTGGGACTACAGGTGTGCACCATCACACTCAGCTAATTTTTTTTTTTTTTTTTTTTTTTTTTTTGAGACGGAGTTTCGCTCTTGTTACCC